AATTTGGGATCTTCCTTCCTCTGCTTCCCAGAGTGCTGGGATTCCAAGCATGAGCCACTTCATCTGGCTTTCCTAGTTCATCTTTATCAGTTAAATCAAAAGTGACTTTACTCTGAGCTTTGGCCTCAAGTGACTGCCGTAAGGAGTGGTTCCTAAGCAGAACGTCTTGATGCACATTATGAGCTTTAAACCTGGACAGAAGGTACAAGAAAATATCTGGCTCATAAGCCAGCTCCCTCCAGAGTAAGTGAGATTCTTCCAGGGAAAAAGAACTTGGTGGGGTAGAACCAGAGCAAAGAAAAAATAAGTCAATTTTCAGAAATGTAATTTACATTTGTTAGTTATTTTTAAGAGGAGACTAAAACTAGAACCAATATTCTAGAAGCAAGGAAAGCTCTAAGATATGTTAGCCAGTTATATTTTACATGTCCCGTTTTCCCATTTTTTATTTTATATCCTTTCCATACATTGATGTAATTTTCACCCTTGTAGTTCAATTTACATTATTTATAATGAAAAAAGCAACCTGATTTACATGTGTAATGAATGGTTACTTTTAATTAAGGAGAGTGGTTTTCCATAGTTGAACATCTGATCTTTTTGCTGACATTTACCTCAGTTCAATTTATTTCTACATCTATCAGACTCCTGCTGTGTTGTTATTTCATGGCTAATATGAAATCCTGAGATTCATGTCAGCATGCATCTTGAATTTGAGGAGCTGAAGGCAAATATCTATAGTTTTTAAACTTAATTTTAAAGCTTCCCACAGACTCCCTAGGGTCACCATTGCTGACTACTGAGACTTCAGCGCAGTGAAACGCAGCCTGGTGACTGAGCCAAGCAGATATGTTTGTTCTTTATTTTAGCGTCATGGTGCCACAGTACTTAGAGTGCAGATGGGGGAGGTTTGCCCTGAGTTGTGAAAGATGCAACGTTAGGAAAATCCCTTAATCTTTCCTGGTAGACACGAGGCACATACTGAATGATTAACAACGAGTAAAACATAGCTTGGGGGAAAATGTAGATTGTTTTGGTGGAAAATTCATCATGAAGAGTTTTAAGGTCCTCGGAGGACACTGTAATAAATGTAATGAAGGGCGGCCAGGGAGATGGCTCAGTGGAATAAGCGCTTCCCTGGCAAGCGCAAGGGCCTGAGTTCAATCCCCGGTTCTGCCCAAAAAATAAAAAAGAAATAAATGTAATGAAGGTGCAAAGATAGAATTTTGAGGTGAAGGTGGTAGGTTTTATCAGCAGTGATGGCAGTGGCAGTGGCCGGAGTGCAGCAGAGAAGCAAAAACAAGGGAGCCGGGAAGCCTTTATTAACTCTGAAGACATGGAGATGATCAAGGGCAGGGAGATGGGAAGATCCTCTGAACTGAGACAGGGAAGATGAGACTTACGGACTTTTGCTGGGGGCGGAGCTTGAGGGGCGGGTTCAGTGACACACAAGAAGCCGATTGGAGGCTCCCTTGTGTGGGAGGGAAAGGTAAAGGGAAGTTGTATTGGGGCTGGAGTGGTGAAGGAGGAGGAAGTGGTCACTGGGAAGATAAGCTCTTATCACCAGGATTCAGCCATGTTAGATCAGGGCCATGTTAATTTAGCAGTCTGTATTTGGGCCATAACCCATTAGAAGGCTTAAGTCATTAAAAGCCGATAGATTAAGTGAGGAAAAAACTGAGGAATGAATATGGTTTAGAAAGGTATAGCGCAAGAGGCAGAGTTGCATTAGATGTGTATCACTCCCAGACAAGGGAAACAGGCAGCAGAAACCTAAATGTAGGAGCAGGGACAGTGATGAGGAAAATTCCAGAAGATTTTAAAAGTCAAACTCAATGATATTGTATGTTTAAATATGTTCCAAAATTACAGTAAGTGTACAGAAAGATTTGTGAAAGACAGAAGGGAATTTAAGATAATTCTAGTTTTCCATCTTGTGTTTCTTAATGACTCGTGACGTAGCTATGCCAGAGAGTAAGAGGATGAAGGAATCCCTGGGGAGTGGGAGTGGTGAGATCAAGCTGTGGGCATCATGGGTAAGGTGTTCACCTGGGCTGGCTGCAGAAACCAAAGGCTCAGGAGGTTGAAAATACAAATATTTGTTAAACATCACAAAAAATAGCTGGTAAAGCTATTCACCCATTCACCCAAATCTGTTTATTAATAACCTGTTAATATGTCACGCCAGAACAAATCAACACATAAAATGGACAGGAATATCTCTCCTGATCGACAGTTCTACTCTAGAAAATATAAAGACCCACAAGCACAAATTTAATCACATACAATGAATGGAACAGGACATCACATTGGGGTGAAAGAAGAAAGCAGTGGTGCGCTAACACGGAAGAGGTGCTCCATAAAATAAAAGAACTGACAAAAGGTTGGTTAGAAGGAAAAGCATACTAGAAACTAGGAGAAGGCTAATGTTTAAACAGAGAAGTCCAAGAGAAAGAAGGACAGAAATTGGATCAACATTACCAGCTTTTTCAGTTTTAAAGCCAAATTATAGGCATAAATAGATTTCAGTGGGAGTGAATGGGAATTGCAAAACCAATACTGTGTCCAACTTGTTATTTAAGAAACTCATCTGAGTAACGAACAGGGAAAGAAGGCACTCAGTCCTGTAGAGAAAGGCGTAAGGCACAATTTCAGCAAGATGATTTTAACATACTGTACACTGACGAAGCTGAACTCAATAGAAAGAAAAAGCATTTGAAAAGGCATAGAAGGTGAAAGTCACCAGAGAGCAAGCACTGAGAAGAGGTTGTCCCACTCATCAGAGTCCTATGAGTGGGGACTGTGGGAGACACAAGGTCCCATTGAGGAGGGCTGTAACTGGCCTCGTAAGTAGATGGCTTCAGCTTCCACAACATTTTGGTGCAAGGAGGGTCAAGGAGCAGTGACTGATGAGCTAGAAGCAATCCTTCCTCTTTCCTTCCCAATAGAAAGACTACCAGTGGATACTGAAAGAAAACCAGCTTCCCTTCAGGCAGCGTGGATAGTAGGGACGGCATTGCAAGCACAGGGGAACCACCTGTACAGTGTGGGGTTTGTCCAGAGGGTGTAATAGACAAGACTATGGAGAAAGATGAGCAGTTGAGTGATAAGGTGTTGTCAATAAAAATACGAAATTTAAAATATATGTAGACAGAAACTTGGGAAGTAGCAGTTAACTACCGTGCTTCTTATTTGAAGTTTGCAAACATGGGAGGCTTTTGAGTTCCAGGAATCTGTAAAGAAAATGAAGAATGGTATTGCAGAAGGTGGGGAGTGAACTCAGGCTTGGCTCCAATTTTAGTAGTTACAGGAAAGCTGGACATGGTTTCTACAAATTCTTTATAATAACACTTATAGTTTACATGATGATTTTACTATCTCTTCTGCCTATATATCAACCCTAAAGCTTTTCTAAGTATAGATTCTATTATTATTTTTTTTTACAAGTAGAAACCAAAGCCTAAAATAATCTGAGATCACATGGTAAGTGACAGAATTAGAAACTAAGTCTGACTCCACTTTCATTTTATCTCCTTTAGTAACACTGGTCCCAAGTGAGTTTGAGATGGACACACATGAGAATCAACCCAAATCCACAACCTCCAGCAAGGAAAATAAAAGATTAAAAGCGAGAGACCCTTCCCTAAAATACAAAAAAAAAAAAAAAAACAGATTAAAAACAAGGGCTATATTATTCATTATGCTTATAATTTTCTGCTTTATTCCTCAAAACTACTGATGCTTCCCAGTCAAAATTAGAGAAAGCCATGACTGATGCTTTACAAAGGGCACAAGTATGCCAGTGTTCACCTGCATTTCTTGTGTTTCATTACACAGAGGATATTCTACCTTACTGCAGACCTACTTTCCCAACGTCCAATAATCCCAGAGATCCCAGCTCCTCCAGCTCAATGTCATCGAGAGGATCAGGAAGCAGACAAAGGGAACAAGCCAATGTAGGTCGAAGAAATATTGCAGAAATGCAAGTACTTGGAGGATATGAAAGAGGAGAAGATAATAATGAAGAAGTAGAGGTAACTATAGTTTTTCTCAAGGTCTCAAGTACTACACTAAAATTCAGTCAGCTTTGAAAGTTACATTCATCGTTACTCAGAAATGTCACCATTTTTGTCCTAGACTTTTCCATCCCATGATTCTGTGCTCCTAGAAGCAAAAGCGCTGAGCATGTAAAATCTCCCTGAGATTTATTTTGTAATTTAAATGACAGTCGTTATTTGCATATATAGGTTTTATGCACATTTGCTTATTTTCAAATAAGAAATATGTATGGGAAATAAAAATTGTTGATCTAGATATATGAGTAATTCAGTGTTAATTATAATCCAACGAAGTACTGTTCATCGCTGTCCTTTAGTGATCACCGGCTGTCCTTTAGATTGGCTGATCAGAGCTGCAGTCTTATACCTTTCTCTCTTCTGAATATCTGGTCTGTGATGCTAATTTCCTCAGAAGGGGGAAATTTCTAGACTCAAATATGATCAAGTTAGAGGTAGAAATAACGGTTTATAAAATATTTTACCTTCTTAAAAATTATTCTTTTTTCACTTAATAAAAGATAAATCTACAATGAATTGCTCTTTTTACAAGTATGTTTAATTCAAGTAACTGTTTACCTGAATGTTAAACTATAATTTCATAATGGAAGATGAAAATAAATGTGTCTAATTGAATTTTATGCAAAGGTAAGAGCACTTCCTTTTTAGGTTAGAGAAGCAGTTTTTCAAGTTTATCTTTTGATTTTTAAGAAAAACAATTTTTGGTGGAGAAGGTACCACAGTAATTTTTATATTTAAATAAAAATTTTTATTTTTAAATAAAAATTCCCATATTTAAAATCAAGGAAAGGGAAGTTACACTGTTGAATTGGGTGGAGGGTATTAAAAAATTCAGAATGTCCTGTCTCAGATCCTAGTGTCCTATCACAATAACATCGGGACACTGTGCTAAAGGGTTCAGTAATTGGCACCAAACTCTTGTTTGTGATTGAGACCAACAAAAATTGAAATTAATTTGTTTTCATGAGCTTTTTCTAACATATCAGTGTATATCAGCAAATGAGTGAAAAACCAAATTAGACTATAAGAGTAAGTGCTCTTAAATTAATAGGAGCCAGTTACCATTTCTTTTGAGCTTTAACAAGAATACATCTTTTAACAGGAAACTGAAAGCTGAAGACAAGCAGAGAGGCTCTGGAGACCTAATGTGAAAATTATCACTCAAGCAGCCTCATGTCTGAGGACGCGTGACGCCAGATAAGATGTTCAGTGCAATCAGAATGTACAAATTGTCGTTTTTATTCCTCTTATTGGGATACCATTTAAAAAAAATTATTGTTTTCATTGTTTGGTCCTTAACCCTAGGAGGAACCTCTCTCTTCCCCTTGCTTTTGGAATGTTTTCGCTTCCAGCAAAGGAAGTGTATTGGCATCTTGTTCCGTCAGCCAGCGAGAAAGAACAGGACGGTGCTTTTGCATTTGGCCCCTGAGATATAGCACTGCACTGCTTGTTTTCAAAGTCAGTTTATAGTAAAACATTGATCAGATGTACAAGTCTGATCAATCAACCTCATGCCAAGGGCTCTCAAAGTATAATCTTTCTATAACCAACTGCTAATGCAAATTAAAGCATACTTCATTTTAACATGATTTTAAAATGAGTTGTTTCATACCACCCATTGCTGGGAGAATCCACAAAAACATAGCAAACACAGAACTACATGCAATTTGAATGGGGTAAAACCATTGTAAATATATGCTCTTTGCAAACTCTGGTGGTACTTTATTTTGTCTTCATTCCAATCATTGAAGTATATTCTTACTGGAAGTGTACTTTTGAATACATAGGGCTAAGCCAGTTGGATCTCTGGTTAGTCATTGTCACAAGTAAGCCTAGCAAAAACGTTGTTCTATTTTTCAATCAAAAAGCAATTATAAATACATATTGCAAACAAATAGATGTTTTTAATGACCAATTGAATAAGGACATCCCTATCTTAACTGGCCTAAATTTCTTCTGGTAGTGTCAGTTCAACTTTCAGAAGTGCCACTTAAGGAAGTTTGTTTGATTTTTGTTTTTGTAATGCACTGTTTTTAATCTTTTTTTTTTTTTTTTTTGGTTTTAAAAGCACAATCACTAAACTTTATTTGTAAACCATTGTAACTATTAACCTTTTTTGTCTTATTGAAAAAATGTTGAGAAGCGTTTTTAACCTGTTTTGTTAATGCTCTATGTTTGTATTTGGAATATTTGAATGACATCAGATGGTGAAGTAACGTGAAGATTTATTGTGGGCTATGATGAGATGGTTCATGCTTTTCCTGGACTTAAAGAAAAAACTGGTTTAAGTTTGTTGTGACCAATCTTGAAACCTACAAGATATCCTTATAAGCTAAAATAGAGGCATTACTTGCATTGAATTGCCAAATGATGCCTTCTGACTGTAGATTTTATGATCCTTTTTTGTCATTATATACATTTAATTGACTTTATAATTGGTGCTATTTGAAGAAAAATGTACATTTAGTCATATACAGGTATTAGGCCTGACCCCATGGGAAAACAAAGCCAAACAAAACTGAACCAGAAAAAAGCCTATGCTCACCAATAACTAAATGTGTTCACTTAGATAATTTGAAAGAATTCCATAGAAAGGGTGTGCAAGCTAAGGGAACAATCCATGTGATTAATGTTTTCATTATGTTCATGTAAGAAGCCTCTTATTTTTAGCCATAATTTTGCATACTGAAAATCCAATAATCAGAAAAGTAATTTTGTCACATTATTTATTAAAAATGTTCTCAAATACATCATTCTTTCTTGTGTTGATTTTTTTCATTGTGTGCTGATCAAATTAAATTAATTCCATTGAATCACAAAGTCGTTTTGTCTTAACATTTCACCACTATATTATCAAAAGATAAAAATTTTCAGCTTTATAAACACTCAAATTTCTGAGGAAAAATTATTTAGTTTCTCTAATATTAAAGATGTAAGATGAATCAAAGCTTGATGTTAGCTGTTGAATCAGAGAATGACTATTGAGGGCCTACTGTTTTGGCTTATAATACGTGTATCTGAGTTTCAGTTAGCCTATTTCTAAAGTAATGAGGACTAAACTATGTTAAACTTGATTTGTAAAGTTAGAGCCACCAGTGTTTAGTCATCAAAATGATCACTTAAGTCTGAAATGCTTAACCCTAAATATTTGCTTTTGTGTTAGATGTTCATGTAATATTTTAAGAATACTTATCATGTCCCAGGTTGTGCATTATAATTCATTAAAAATCAGCATATTCAAGCATTCAACATTGGATGGATGAGATGAGAATCACGTCTTCAAAATGTAAGAGAAAAAGGACCTATTGAAAAAAATATTTACTGTAATGTATCTGTAGCCATTGATCTATCTAAATTTTATATTTATTAGAATTTGGAGAAAAAGGAAAAAAGGTATAACTTGAAATATAATTTATAAAACTGAAATAATCACCAGAATCTACTCCAAGATGAATAGGTCCCAGGTCGAGAAGTCCGTTTACAAGCTATTCAAGTGAAAAGTTAATAAGAGATATGTGTAATAACCTAATTTTTCTTTTTCCATTTGAGTAACCCATACTTTTGTATGCAATATCCATAAAAAGTTTGTATATCTGAAGGCCTGGGTTGGAGTCCCAGTTTTGTGATGGTTATGTTTCCTTGAACATGTTGCTTAACCTCTAAGTCTCAGGTACTTCACCTGTAAATTCAGTAATACCTACCTCACGGAGCTTCTGTCATGATTTAGCGAGCTAATGTATATGATACGGACTCTGTCAACTCCAGTCAACAATACAAAATATTGTTATGTTTATGGACTGAAATTCATTACACATGCAATTCCCATGTTTCATGCATAATTTGTTCCTTAAAATTGCATGAAAGTAAAGAATAAGTGTAAGGCTGAGGATGGTTCCATTTCTGGTAAGTAAAATTCACTGTGAAATGCCTAACTGTGGAATAAATTCTTGGTGTTATTGTTTGTTTCTTTGCTTTTGAATTCAGGGGACATACAGTGGGTGGTGGTGTGATGTTTTCAGTACTCTTCAAAATTAAGGTGTGCAAACATGTCATTTGAGTTGTCAATAAATGAATTTAGTATCTCTTTTTGGGCTGCTGTTCAATCTCGTAGCAGAAAATATAATCTTAGTCCCAGGTATATGGGGTTGTATTTGGCTTTCCTATTCATTTCAGATCTAGGCTTCCTTCTCCTCTTCTCACAGTTGCATTAGGGTCTCTATCACAGATGCTGGTTCTATGTGAGGAAAGACTGAGTGGAGTCCAGGAGGCTTTCCATGTTGCTGTTGTCCAACTCCCTAATGGTCTCTGTTCCCTGCTTCCTGGACTTTTTGCCTCCTAGCCAATAACTTTCCTCCTATTCTGCCAAGGTCTTTGAGGTATAGCAGGTATGGGAAGTAGGCAGTGGGAGGTATCACGCTCTTCCATGCCGTGCCTCAGATTTGGAAACTTCACTGAAGCTTTAGACTCTGAAGTTCTCCAGGGCCTCGCAAAGCACCACTGTGGCTGCTGAACTACGCATTGCATTTGGCTGTGTGTTGGTTAGAGAAGACAGTGAGGGCTACGAGTGGAATTTAGCAGAAATGAAGTCAGTCATTTGCATTTAAAAGACAGTTCCACTTACTAGGAGTTTAACAGTCACTACTCTAACAAATCGTGTTTAAGATTAATTATGATATATCTGATAGTGGAATGAATCTTTCAGTTAGCAGTGTTTTATAACATCTTTCAGCCAGGCAATAGTCATGGAGTTTTTACTGCTTGCTTTTAAAATATGTGTCTCATACAAACACAAAATAAGCATGTGTTAATTTTGTATTTGCCTCATGAATAGGGAAGCAGCAGAAAGAAAAATTGAAGAACAGCCAAAGAAAGAACTTAATATGATTGCTAAGTAAGTGAACTTTATATTGGACAAAACAAGTTTGACAATATCTCTACTGGGCTACCAAAATGTAACACCTATGCTTTTCTTTACGATCATTAATATTTTGGGATGTATGCAGTTCACCATAGTCATTTGCAAATTATCAAACAAAAGATATCTGGAGAATTTACATTCACCCAGAAGAATCGGCTAAGAGTCAAATAGTGACTTCCTCTGATCCCTGTTCCCCTAGAAATAGGGCCTGAAACAAAGACTTGGATGTGGACAGTTTATTTGAACCTAATTCCAGGAAGTCAGAGCAGGAGATAATAAAGGATACAACTCACTGCAGACGATGTGGAGTCTGTGCCGCCAGCAGGGCCCCGTCTGCCTCTTCTCTGACATGAAGCACGCCTCCGAGCAGCTTTCGCCAAGGGCAGGATCCAGGGCACCATAATGTGTTCGTGTTTCCCAGGGGTTGCGAGCTGGGGGGAGGGATGTGATTAACTCCTAAATCCTAGGGAGGGCTGGGAAGAGAGCTCAGTAAGTGCCTGCCTGGCAAACGTAAGGTCCTGAGTTCAATCCCCAGTACCACACTAAAGAAATAAAGAAAGAAAGAAATTTGTAATTAAAAAATAAACTCCTAGGGAGCAGATCCAGTGGGAGTGGAAAACCCTGAAGTGGACCAAAGACAAGCATAGCGCAGGAGATTGAGAAGGAAAGGCGTTAAAAGATGAGCGTGAGCGCAAAGAAAACCGTCAGCCACAGTGAGCCTCCAGCAACAACTATGAGGAACAGAAGTACTGGAAATGTTTTGTGGTGGTATTAAAAAATCAGTCAACCACCCGGGCCTGCCCGTGTCGGCCCCGCCCCCGGGGCGCGCTGAGACAGAGATTGAGACTGAGCATGGTGGCACACGCCTGCAATCCCAGCTTTTGGGAGGCACTAAACAGGCAGATTGCCACGAGTCTGACCCAGTAGTGAGATCCTGAACACCCTGTCGACCCTTCCCTAAAAATAAATAAATAATAAACCAAATCAAACAACCATCAGTTTATCTTTTTCCAAATGTAAGATAAATTTTCTTTTATAATATCCACATATATTACTCCCATCATTCAAATTACATTAATGCACCAGAGTTCTTGTGCTTAATGATTATCAGTACTAAAGATACTGAGTTTCATTTTTACAGTATGAGCTTTGAAATAAAGCAAAATCCAGAGCAGGACTGAGGTATGAATTAGACCCTTAGGAGGACAACTGCAATTGTGCATTTTTCTGATGAAGCATGAGGCAGAGCTGTGTCTAAGAAGCCAAAGTACCCACAGTCCTGAGGGATGACTGTGTGACTTCTGACATACATGCACACACACACACACACACACACACACACACACACACACATTGTGGGGCTAGGGGCAAGCGTGCAGTCGAAGCCAGGCAAACCTAAACAAATGCTTCAGAATAGCATTA